TGCCGGTTCTGACTCAGAGCAGCCCCAGGTTCACCTGAACAAAAGGAGGCCCAGTGGTTCGCCAGCCTCAAGATTGTGCCGCTGTTTGAGCCCATTGTTGCTGGCACCCTGTTGCTCCATCTCCTTGAGGGTCTGTTCTTAACCGTGATGTCCTCCTCCAGAGACTGATCTCTCCGGATCACACGTCGGAAGCACGTGAGATGAAGTCTCCCCATTCTCGCTCCCAAGGAGCATCCTGGCTGTGCATGCTCAGAGATGGATGTCTTTGTTCTTCGGATGGTCTGCGGTCCTTTCCGTCGTCTTTGCAAGCGCCGCGGCTCGAATGCAGGGCTACCTGTGCCCGACACTTTCCAAAGGAGTCTTGGTAGCGTCGTGGATGATGCATGGGCTGCTACGGCAAAGTCAGCAGTTCGAGACCACTAGCTGGTTCGAGTGAGAAAGAGGAGGCTTTTGCTTCCATCAAGAGTGACCATCGGCGATTTCCCTGACCTAACTTGTTGGGTCTCGTGCCTCCGGCCCTTTCTCTGCTCTCCCTTCCCTCCCGGGAGTTCTTTCCCTGCCTCAATAAAATCTTTCTTAACTTCAAAACAAAACAAAACAAAACAAAGAAAGAGTTCCCATCTCAGAAACCCACCAGGCTGGGGCGGGCAGTTTTACCTTGTCCTATAGGGTCTCTATGAATCAGAATGGGCTTGAGAGCAGTGATTCTAGCATCTTCGAGACAATCCTGTGAGTTTCTCCGGCCCCACTGTACCAAGGAGGAGACGGGGGCCCAGAGAAGTTCAGAACGTGACCCACAGTCTCATAGCTAGAAAACGGAAGGGACGGGATTGAAAGCCGGCCAATCGTGTCTTGGCCCCAGAGTCCATCAGCTATTTGCATGGAGCTTGATTTAATTTATTAAAGAAGCCACTGATATGAAACCAGTCTCTTCTGATCGGCAGGTTCAGTACCTTCCATCCCTGGGAACAACCCTGAGGGTGACAGCAGCCAGAGCCAGACAAGAATCAAAGAGCAGAGAACTTGAGGTGACCCAGGTGACCCAGGACAGCACACCTGGTGAGGCTTCATCCAAGACAGGCACGTCGACTGATGCCTTTACGGGAGGGGGCTTCACGGAGTTCCCGGATTGACTATCCGACAGAGAGCATGCGCACTGGATTTTCCACAGCGGTAATTAGACTGGAAGGTCACGCCTTGTCATTGGATCGCCCCGTGTTTAATCTGTCCTGGTCTGCTTTCTTTTCCATTGAGGTTTTCCCCCCGGTGCTATTTGGACCTTGCTGTTCTTTGTTTTGGATGCTTTTCTGTGTAGGGAATCCAGGAATGGCTGGCTCTGGGAAAACAGGAACTGGATGAATAATTACCTAGGGACACCAAAGGGGAGGTGGAGGGGAGGCGGGGGGAGTGGAGAGTCCACCGCGGGGAGTCTGAGAAAGAAGAACATGTCCCAAAGTTGATGCGGGTAAGGATTGCACAACGCCTTCTTAATACGACGGAACTGTTGAGCTGTGTGATCTGTTAATGATCGTCCAACACAACTTGTTTAAAGAACATTAAAAACAAGGACTGTTCTGTTAAACCCCCTAAGACATAGATGGACCCAGAGAACACTATTTTATGACCCTGTCAAGAGAAGGCAAAAATACCGACAGATAAGATTAAAAAAAAACAAACTTTTATTGGGGGCTCTTACATCTCTTATCATAACCCATACATTCCTCCAGTGTGTCAAGCACATTTGCACCTATGCCGCCGTCATCAGTTTCAGAGCATTCTCTTCCCACTTGAGCCCCTGATATCACCTCCCCATTCTTCCCCCTCCCTCCCTGGGGCTCCCTCCCTCCCTCACCCTTGATAAGTCATAGATTATTATTTGCATATCTTACATCGTCCTCCGTTGTCCATCACCCACTTTTCCGTTGGTTGTTCATCCCCCTGAGAGGGGGTTCGAGGTTGATCTTGTGATCAATTAGCTCCTTCTCCCCCCACCCTCCCCTACTGTATCTCTACTCTCCTTGTTGGCCCTGGGGGG